TTCAAGTGAAACCGCCATATTCTCTCTTTGTCTTAGCATTTTCTCCTCGGTCATGTCGATTCTTTTATGTCACCGCACCCTGATATCTCGAGCACAAAAGGCAGCCAAATTTGCCCTTTAAACTCGGTAATCTCGATCACCATAATCCATTGCCGGCTTTTAAACTCCGCAAGAAATAGGGAACAAATAAACACGTTTATACAGCACTTGTGTTTTAGAATGAACCTAGAAGTAATGTAAATAAATATGTTTTAATTCGAGGTTTAAAAACCCGGTAGAGTCCATATTATAAATGATCATAATTTGCCATATGCAAAACGTTGTCATGGGCAGCCATACACGGTCACTTGCATAATGGCTATGCCGTGGTACTACCTCAGAGTTTTCATTCATAAGAGTTTGCCATGTGCAAAAGCTATTCAACCATTGGTCGGGGAAAGCTTTAATTAAATAGTCATGTGCTAAAGTTGGAATTTCAAAAGAAGTAGTCCCTAAATAATATTTTGGCAATAAAGGGATGCGTTGCCTTACATAAACTATAGAGTCATTGTGCAAGACACGATCAGCAGAATGAGGTCACAAAATGTGGAGGCTTCGTTAATGGTGAAAACACCAAACGTACTCGCACTTTAAAAATTCGTATCTCAAAAAGCACTGAAGTTAACAAGTTGATTCTGGTTTCATTTTTTAAATTTTGAAATTTGCTCTAAATAACTGTACTATTTTTTTTTTTTTATTATTTTTTTTTACTGAAGTACCTGCATTAAATTTTGTTAACACACATCATGTACATAAAGAAATTTCAAGCACATGTTAATATATTGCCGCCATATTAATTTTCGGTTATCTCATTCATCGGTTATCTCGACGCTTTTTGGAAAACCCCGAGGCCGTCGACATAACCGGGTTCTGCTGTTTTACTATTATTATTTTATTTACCGGGTATTCGAATACCGGTATTAATAAATTTCATTCCAATATATAACATATCCTACGTGTTCTGTCTAAATTCATGGATACTGGGTGGCCGAGCGGTCTAAACTGTCTCAAAACCAAATAGCTGGTGGTCTGGAGTCATATCCCCATCAAAGCCCACGTCCCACGAGCCCCGAGTGGATGGGACCCGCTAGCCTTGGAAGGCAACCCATCTAAGAGATGAATTTAAACCAGGAGCCAGTAATGATCCACAAATTGATCGTGCCCCCCCCCCCCCCCCCCCCCCCCACACAAAAAAAAAA